GACGTCACGGTTGTATTCTGAGCGTTTCAATGTGCCAAGCCGAACGACACTGAAGCACTGATAAGCGCTTATAACGTAAAAAGCGTCCAAGACGAACGCACCCTTGGTACCCTGTTTGAGCCGGTCWGTTAGTAGCGCTATGGTGTCCGCGTAGTTGTCGACAAACTGGCTGTACCAGTTGCAGACGCCCAGGAACTTCCGTAGGTCCCTAACTTTGGTTGGTGTGGGAAACTGCATGATGCCTTCTAGTTTCTCCGGTTATTTGTCTATGCCGTCGGATGTGACTAGGTGTCCGAGAAATGATATTTCGGTAGATCCGAAACTGCATTTTTCGGTGTTGCATGTTAACCCGTGTCTTTGTAGACGTTCCAGAACTTTGTCCAAGTGGCACTGGTGTTCGTCCGTAGTGTTTGAAAACACCACTATATCGTCAAGATATACGCGGACGAACTCATCCAAGTACCCCCTCAATACTTCGTTCATTAAACGTACAAAGGTCATGGGGCTGTTCTTTAGGCCAAAGGGGAGGACTCGGAATTGATACAGACCCCGACGCGCCCGGAATGCCGTGTATTTTCGAGCGTTTTGGTTAAGTGGTACTTGCCAGTATCCCGACTTAAGGTCCAAAATGCTGAATATTTTTGCGACTCGCATTTGACGTATCAACGTATTGAGGTCCGGCATTGGGTAAGCGTCARACTCAGTGACGTCATTGAGTCGTCTGTAGTTGATGCACTTCGGGGCGATCCGTCTTTCTTTTTTGCTAAGACGAGGGGTGCGGCCCATGGCGATGTGCTTTGCTCCACAAGTCCCTGTTGTTCCATATCCTGTACCATGGTTCGATTATGGTCTGTTTTGCCTGTGGTTAGRGATATGGTTTGAGCGCTATCGGGGGTTTGGTTCTTCAAGAGTTTGTCGTGTTCGATTAATCTGGTGCGACCTACGTTGCACACAGGTGAGTTTCGTTGCAGTTGACGCAGGTAGGAGGTATGTTTGGTAATTTTTCACAGTTCGAGTAGTGGTTTGGTTCGTTACATTTTACGCAACTATGCTGAAAATTGCACGATTTGTGGATATAACCGTATCTCTGAAAATGTGTGCACTGTGGAGGATCTTTTGYTTTTCGGCGTGGTTCGATGATAATCATGCAGTTTAGCAATTTATGTAGTTTAAAAATGTCTTGTGATAAAGGATTGTTTTCCAGCTGTAATGCCATTATTGGGRTTGGTGTCTTATCTTTGTTGTTTAGTCTTAAGACTGATTTAACAGGAAAATTAAGTCTTCTTAGTTCTTCCATTATTTCAAACTCGGTTATTGATGTGGGCGAGTTTCTAATTATTGCGGAAATATCTTTTTCGTTTTTTAATCTGTATGTATAGTATTCGTATTTTTTGTCATCAAGGAATTTGGTTAGGGCGCAAAAGTCGTCTACGGTTTCAACATTGACTTTTATTTTATCGTTCTTGGATGTGGCAGTAAAATCATTAATAATAACTTCTGATATTTCGAGTTAAAACTGTGAGAATTTTGTTATATTGGCTATGAATAGCGGTGGTATTTTAGGAGTGCTATTATTTGTTTGTGGTTGAATATTATAAATGTTTTGATTATCAGTTTTTGATGTGTGTGCATTATCGTTGTTGCAGCTGAGCATTTCTTGATCGTTAATTACGGTGTTATCGGCTAGTATTGCGTAGCGATTTGGTGTGGACTTGATGGGGCTTTTGGTTGGCAGGTCGAAGACTTTTGACGTTTGTCTTGGTGACCTTAATTCAGTGTCGGAGTTGGGAGTTGGTGGTTCAGAATTGTCAGTATCTGAGAGTATTATTTTATTTTTCTTGATAATTATAGTTGGTATTTTGCGCTCATGTTTAGATTTTGTTGGAATCATTTTGTTAGTGTGTGTGTGGTTATCGAATGTGCGTAGTGGGCTTATCGCCCGTAGGCACGGTTTAGTTTACGATGCGGTAATTATCTATTGGACTTTATACCTAAGATGTTGATAAACATTACCAGTGTGATGTGGTGCGGCGTAATTGCTGCTATTACTGCTATCGGTAGCTATTTAAGACGSTACGTGGATAACGTGTGGCYTCTACGGTGTCCAGGCATGAACTTTGATGCATGGCTAAACAATACTAGACAAGATTGTGCAAACTGTTCTATTAACTGAACTGCGCAACTTATCGCAAAGTAGAGTCCACACGCAGACCAAAAATCTGCAAGAACTGCACAGTTAAACTGGTCGTTTCTCGACCCTTAGCAGTTTTACAATAACTGAAGATTRTATGTCTTGATTGACCGCTCATTGAAGTTATCAATCAGTCAAATTGTCTTCTTTTGATAGAATTTGTACGGTCTCATAAGGTAAGTATTAAATAGTCTAGTGAATAATAGTTATATATTATTGTTGGTATTTAATTGAGCAGKGCTGTAGAAGATATTTTATACAACATATTATTGTAAGTCACTGGCTAGTCAAATTAGTTATCTTATATTTCTTAACATCATTGTGTAAACAAAAATAAACATTTTTATTTTTTATTTTATTTTATCAATAGGTACTTAAACATGTATCCAGAAGATAGTATTATGTGTTGTTTGTTTCCTAATAACTGTAATATGTTTTTTCGTACGCCACTAATGAAATTTTTGGATACATATGGATTATCTTCTAGCCCATGGCAGTCAACATGGTTATCAAACTGTTTATACATGATCATAATCATAATATGTCTTTTAGTAGTTAAGTTAAATAAAATATAAAATCTTTGTAAATTAATATTTATAAAGTTTCAGAAATATGTTGGTAAATTAATTTTACACAATAACTCTTCCGAAGAGTATAAGAATTGTGTTGAAGAATTATTGCTTCAGAAAGAAGTGGTAACGGAATGTATTGACAACGACTCCGTTTTCAATAGAAATAATTCTGATAGTAATGAAGCAATGGTCGTATCAAGGGTAGGCCAGGGCGAGCCAGAACCATCGGGGTGTCCAGTAAGTGGTTTGGAGAATAAGCCAACACCATGTGAATTGGAAAACGTGAGTTGCTGCAAATTATATCCTGCATAAATGAAAATAAATAAATTGCATTATAATAGTTAATTTATAGTTGTTAATTTCTTTTTTTTTTTTTTTTTTTTTTTTTTTTTTTTTTTTTTTTTTTTTTTTATAGTTATTTTTGATGCAAATATATTGCATTAATTATTAAAATAGTGTAACGTGGTGGGGATGACCCGTTAAATATAAGATATTGAGGTAAGAAATTACTTCTTTTTAATATATTTTCACCGTAGCTCGGGACTCGGGAGTATGAATGGTATAAGGATAATATTATTTAATATTACTAATCAATAACGATTGATCTAAATTATTATTACTTACGATTTTTGAACAAAGTTACCAAAAATGTGGGATTGTATGGATTTCAAGTGTACGTGATGGTAATCACGAAAACTGTCTTTCTATTACATATAGATATATTGGCCGGAGTCTTAGAGTTATARAATATATAAGTGGCGCCTAAACCAGAGGGGCTTAATATATTATAGTCATCGAATAATATGTCTATCGTGCATATTATGATGTTTATAAAATATACGTAGATAACCTCCCTTTTTTTTTGAACATTTTAAATGTGCTTTATATTAAAAAAAAATTACAATATAAATCATGTTATCCTTTTTGTACAATTTAAGAAAATATTATTAAGACTAGTATAATTTAAATTSATTGAAATTTTACTGGATTTCGAAGATTTACCACTGTTATGGTGTGAATACGTGATAACTGCTATTTACATTAAGGCGGGATCCCACTACTCGTGTATTTGACGAATATTTGGTATTCGTAAAGTACTCRTCGAGTAGTGGGAATGGAGTACTTGTACGAATATTCGGTATTCGTTATTTGTTATTCACCTCCTTCCCGAGGATTGTCGGTAAAAGTGACAGAAATCAAAGAGAATTTAATTTCCAAAATAKATGTTTGTTGGTACATTCCCACAACTCGACGAATATTTGCAATTCGGTGGTTTTTGTTATCAGTTATCAGCCATATTATCAATTCATTAATAGTAATAATGTGTTAACAGTCATAAATTAATTCTTAAATTCTTCACTCGTAAGTAAAAATGATCCGCATACAATTATTTT